CCGGGCTGCTATGGAACGGCCTCACTGGTAGCATAGAGGAGGGGAAGGGAGGGGGCCACAGCAGCCTGGGGCCTGCACCCATCGGCAGCACAGGCAGACAAACCAGGGGCTCAGGCAGCACTGCCCGGGAGCTGAGCGGGGCAGCTGGGCCCAGGGTCCCACCTGCTGGCTCCAGCTCTGGTGTCACTGGGGATGCCTGGTCCCCGGGTGCTGGCTACCCCCATCCCACAGCCAGATCCATTGTTCAGCTGGGTCCAGCTCCTTGAACCTTCCCCACACTCCCACTGCCTGCAGCCCCATCCAGAGCTGCCCTGTGAGGAGACGGGAATTGAGAGAGATGGGGGAAGGCGGGAGGAGGAGACGCAGCCCCAGGCTCCTGAAAACGCAGGATGCATTAGAGCAAGCAGAGCTGCCTGATTGATTCTCCGGGCTGAGACGTGGGCTGGGAGTGCCAGGAGAAAATGGATCCCATGAATATTTGATGAACAGAGGCTTGGGGAGGGAGTTTGATTGGAAAATTACAGATCTTTCAAACAATGGTTCAAGTGCCCTCCAAACACTTGGGTTTCCAGCTCCCTTCCAGTTAGAGGAGCAAGGCTCCACCAGGAAACCCCCACGATTTGTGAATGAGAGCAGAGCCGGCCACTCTCCACGCCTGGGAGCACCAACGTGCTGGGACAGGCAGCCCCTGCACCAGCCCCGGTGCTGGTGCATCTGGATGCCCACCGAGGGAACCTTGGGGCCCCTTGGTTCCATTCACACAGGCAGACTGGCTTTCCCACACCAACACCATGAACACGGGCACATGCGAGGCTCCAAGGAGCTGGCAGGAACGTGGCTCCTGCCCGTGCTCCTGGCAGGGTCACCCCACGAGCCCTCAGGCTCGGATCGGCACCGAGCCAAGGGGCTGGGTTCAGCCCACGTCCAGCCACGCTCTGCCAGGAAGCACCTGGCTGGGGCAGGATCCAACCCGGCTCCTCTCTCTCCTCCTGGGATGCTGCAGGGCTCATCCTTGCCCCTAGAGCAGCTCCTGTCTGGGGCCCGGGGGCTCACCCGCTTCCGGATGGAGCAAAGACAGACTCGGGAAACCGGGCTCATGCCTCTGCCCCAGCCCCGAGCTCTGTGCCTCCGCCCAACCCTCCCCGGCGCACGTCGCCTCCCGGCCTTCATCCCGGCCCTTCCTCACTGCCACCACCAGTGACAGGCCTGTGCCACAGCCCGGCCAAGCCCCAGCACAGCTCCCATCGCGGTGCAGACAGTGTGAACCACCAACCCCATATGGGAAAAGAAGCTGTTTCTGGCCAGGAAGTGGGAACTCCAACAGCAGCAGCTTCCCAGGAAGCTGTGCTGGTTCCTGCCCAGCCACACAGGTCTGGCCAAGAGGCCCCATCCCCACATTCAAACTCTGAACACCAGGATCAGCCTAAGCAGGTTGTCCCTCACACAGAAATATCCCTCCTTCCCCTGGGTGTGACTGTTGGCTTTAGATCAGGGTTGGGCAGGGTTGGGAGGGCAAGGAGGAGGAAGAGACCCCAGACACAGAGGGGAAAGCAGCAACCTGCCCAGACAAACTACTGGAGCAGCCAGACGTGGAGATGGAAAATCTCCAGCTGCTCACGAGCATCAGTGGCAGCAGAGGATGGACAAGCAGCCCCGAAGGGACCAGCACAGCCTTAACACGAGCTGGAAGCTCTCAGCCAAACCCTGCCGGGCACTGGCTCACAGCAGCCAGGACCCTCCTCCAGCCACCACCAGTGCCAAAGCCAACCAGGAGCCAAACCTCTGGCCACAGAGCCAGGCCCATGTCAGGAGAGTACCTTGCTGTGTCGCCCCACCCTGGGACTCTCCTAAACCTTCAGCTGCACAACCAGGCTCTGGATTCAAGGGAGTAGAACTGACCTGGTGAGACCCGGGGCAGGGATGGCAGAGCTGCAGGTGCCCCCAGAAACCCAGTCCCGCCCTACGGAGAATGTTTGGGCATTTTAACCACCAACAGCTTTTGTACATTTATTCCACCCAAAAGCTCAGGAGCCTCCTCCTGAAGGGCTATGGCTGGCTGAACAGCCAGAGGGGCTGCACCAGTGGAGCTGGGAGTGAGCAGAGCCTGGGGCAGGAGCTGCCACCCTGCCCAGGACCATCCTCTGCTTCAAGCCCAGCTCTGGACACCTCGTGTCCAGTCCCCACAGCCTCTCACCCCACTCCCCAGGGCACATTGTGCCCCTCAGTTCTGCTCTTTTCCTCACTGCCTGTCAGCAAATCACACACCTTTTTCTCCCCAGTGAGGCACTTTTCTGGAGGGATCAACCCTCTGAGGAGCTGCCCAAAGCCCCAGACCTGCCTTGATGAGCTTTCACACCATGAAGCAAAGCCGCCCCCGAAGGGCCCAGCACAGCCTTAACACGAGCTGGAAGCTCTCAGCCAAACCCTGCCGGGCACTGGCTCACAGCAGCCAGGACCCTCCTCCAGCCACCACCAGTGCCAAAGCCAACCAGGAGCCAAACCTCTGGCCACAGAGCCAGGCCCATGTCAGGAGAGTACCTTGCTGTGTCGCCCCACCCTGGGACTCTCCTAAACCTTCAGCTGCACAACCAGGCTCTGGATTCAAGGGAGTAGAACTGACCTGGTGAGACCCGGGGCAGGGATGGCAGAGCTGCAGGTGCCCCCAGAAACCCAGTCCCGCCCTACGGAGAATGTTTGGGCATTTTAACCACCAACAGCTTTTGTACATTTATTCCACCCAAAAGCTCAGGAGCCTCCTCCTGAACAGCCAGAGGGGCTGCACCAGTGGAGCTGGGAGTGAGCAGAGCCTGGGGCAGGAGCTGCCACCCTGCCCAGGACCCTCCTCTGCTTCAAGCCCAGCTCTGGACACCTCGTGTCCAGTCCCCACAGCCTCTCACCCCACTCCCCAGGGCACATTGTGCCCCTCAGTTCTGCTCTTTTCCTCACTGCCTGTCAGCAAATCACACACCTTTTTCTCCCCAGTGAGGCACTTTTCTGGAGGGATCAACCCTCTGAGGAGCTGCCCAAAGCCCCAGACCTGCCTTGATGAGCTTTCACACCATGAAGCCTCCAGATGCCCCCAGCAGCAAGGGGACCTGCTCCATTCTCTCAGCCTCTGACATGTCCCCAGGCCCTCAGCAGTGTCCCCCACGCTGCTTGCAGTCCCAAGCCAGCCAGAGTCCATTCCAACTCCTGGAAACCACCTGCAGACCCTCACCAGCACCCACAACCCCATGGGGCTGCCCAGGCAGGAGGCAGATGGTGGCGAGTGGGACCTGTTGACACTCAGCATCTCACTATCCAGTGGGCCAGTTGATGGGTGTGAGGTGAGCAGCCAGGGGAGCTGGCCCTGCCTGGCTGGACGCCCCCAGGAAGCCACCAATGCTAAACCCAGGAGGTGCTGGGGGGACCCTTGTTTGCCACAAGAGGGAAGGAGAGGCCTGGGTGCTACAGGGCCAGCCCAGCCGGCTGCTGTCACTGGTCCCCAGCACACCGATCAGCCACCAAGCCCTGTGCCTTCCCAGCACCCACACACCACAGGCAGGAGATGCCAGTGTCCCTGAGGGGCAAAACCAGTATCTGAGCAGGATGGTCCTCAGTTACCCCCCTCTCAACGGCCTCCACCTGTTCCCCTCTTCCCCACGCCCTGCTCGGAGCCTGCAGGGACCAACCGACGGGGCAGGGCCCCACCGCGGCACACAAAGGATGAGGCCGGGGCTGGGAAAAGCCCCCCCGCCGGGAGCCCCTGGGCAGCCGGGCCCCTTGGCCGCGGGCTGGGGGTGCGGGCGCAGGGGGGGGTCCGCGGCTCCCAGCCACCTACACGCAGCAGCAACAACAGGTTCAAAACACAAAAATAAACGCCCTACCCACCCCCTGCTTCCCGCACCGCTGCCGGCAGAGACTTGCCCCCCTACAGCCCCCACTCCGGGCCCTCCGTCGCTGCACCCGGCGCCTCGGAACCCCCAGCAGGGCAGGGACCAGGAAGGGCAGCACCTGCTGAGCAGCATCAGGGGGATGGGAAGCCCCGGTTTCGGGGTCCCGAGCCCCGGCATTAGGGGGATGTGAGTCCCCAGTATTGAAGTCCTGAGCCCTAGCATCTAAGGGGATGTGAACTCCCGGTTTCGGGGTCCCAAATCCTGGCATCGGACGGATGCGAGCCCCCGGTTTGGGGGTCCTTGTGTCCCCAGGAACAAGGGGGATACGAGCCCCCGGCTTTGGGGTCTCGAGCCCGGCACCGGGGG